GGGTGGGGCCAGTTGGGCCGGCCCGACCCAGCCGCTCTGCCCCAAAGGCTTCAAAGGAAGGTCAGGTGTGGACCAGGGTGGACTGGTGCAGGCGGAATGGGGACCTTCGGAAGGGGCTTCAAGTTCCGCTGAGCTTGGGCAGCTTTTAAAATCTGAAGACCCAGCTCACCGCAAGGGTTAGGGTCCATCCCTGCTACTGTGAGGGCTGGCCTGGGACCCATCCCCATGGCAGAAATCGAGGAGGATGGTAAGACAAGAAGACATACTCACCTATGCCAGGTTCAGGAAGAGCCCCTGCTCAGCCCCAGGCTGCACCTGGGAGGGGCAGACTCAGCCACCCTGCACTTCTCAGGAAAGGATTTTTAACCTGAGGAAGAATATTTGATTGGGGTGTGGTGACTCACACCTCTAATTCAAGCATCTGGAAGGCTGAGTCAGGAGGATTTCCCCCCCAAGTTTGAAGCCTGCCTGGTCTACTTGCTGAGTTCAGTACCTAGTCTCAGAAAGCCTGGGTGAATTTTGGCCTTGGAAGCTGCATAGTATTAGGAATGACTCAGAAGACAGGGTTGGGAGCCTCAGGAAAGACCCCACACCACGAAAAGATCTCAGCCAGGCACTTCTACTTTGGACCTCTGATCAGGAAGAAAAAAAAAAAAAACAGGTCCCCCACAATCCACTGACCTTCATGAGGTAGATCACTCCTGTGCCATGCTGGGTGGCGGTGGGGCACAAGCCAAACCCCAGGCTCTGGAGGTTGCAACCAGGCCATTTAGGGAGACTATGGGTCCTCAGCACCTTAAAAGGTGGGGAATTTGTGTATGCTACAGAACTGGGATTACAGCCCTGGGGAGGCTGGAAACAGGGAGTCATTTCCAGCTCACAGGAAAATTAGTATCAGGGAAGACTTCTTTGTTGTTGTGCCGGGAATTGAACTGGGACCTTGCACTTAAACTGGGGAGATAGGTGATGGACTGTAGTCCCAGCTCAGGCAACTGAGGGAGTGAATCAGTGAGACCTTGTACCAAACAAAATCCAGAAGATTTAGCTCTGTGGAGTGCTGCCTGCCTCGCTAACTAACACGGGGTCTTGAGATCAATATCTGGTACGGGAAAAAAAAAGCGAAAGATTGAAAAGGCTGGGACGTAACTCAAGAGCAATGGCCCTGGGTTTGAAATCCCCAGTACCACACCAAAAAACGCGACAAGAAACGGGAGATGTGGTTGAGGATGGCTTTGAACTCACGGCACTCCTGCCTCAGCCTCTTCAGTGGCCCCTTAGATGCAAGCCACACCCCGAGGCGGGGGGGATCGGGGCGCACGGCCGCCCCTTTGAGCTCCGGCTCGGTCACCAGGAGCGCTTTTACCACTAGGACCCGCGCGGTTGACAGCGAGACAGGCGGGGTTCCGGAAACGCGGGTAAAGCCCAGCTCCCGAGATGGAACCGCCACTCCGCACCCGCCGAGCCCGGCCTAGGTCACCTCGAGTCCGCGTCGCCTTCTCACACAGAGACCCGCAAAAAGGAAGCACTTCCCAGACGGGCACGGGCAGCGCCCCCGTTTTGCGGGTCACGGCCTGAGATTCTCGTTCAGGAAGAGGCTCTCGAGGCTGAAGGAGGGTGGCGGGTGAGGCCGGGCTGGGACATCTCCCCGGGAGTGGTTGCTTTGTGACGTGGCTGGGGCCCGAGACTGCGGTGTACCCGGATCACACACGTCGGATACAAAGCGGCCGCCACCCGACACTGAGCACCGGGAGTGAACTCACCTCTCCTACACGAAGTCCAGAGCTAGGCCTCCGTGCCCGCTGCCCCACTCCGCGTTCACGGCAGCGCAGGTCGCCTTCCTTTGTCAAAGGACCCTCCCGCCTCAGCCTCCCGGCGCCAGGGGCTGCAGTCCCAGTTCCCTTCTATCCACCTCAGAACCCGGCCCGGCCCTGTGCACGGTGACC